TAACTTAAAATGCTACCTCTAAATCATAATTTTAAAAAACAACTAACCTCATGAATAGGATACTGGTTAGATCAAATCAAATGAAACTTGAGGCGCCTTATTTATCTTTTCTCTTAAAAAAGTAATTTTTACATCCCTTAAAAATGAAAAATAATTGTAGTAGACTGACACTCTTTTCAATTCTGTATGAGAAATAGAATCTTAAATTTAACTGAATATGTTCACTGTCTCAGGTAGGTGGATCTCGTGGAAAGGTGAGGTGATGTACATGGTATCAGATACAAGTGGATCCAAAAAAAAGGTCCACATGCACATTACCTAAAACACTGACAGCATCCATAATACCTTAAGATTTTTACCATCGTACTTAACTATCATAAAAATAATTTCGACTTTTCAAATTAAAACCAATTTTTGCCCAAAATTCAGCACTTCAAAATTTAATGGAGGAGGAAATGATAGATCAAAACAGTATTTTCTCACCTCAAGCCTGCCACCAGCCCAGCTGGCATGATCTTCTTGGATCTTTTAAACCGCACGCCCATTATGGTGGCCAGGAAGAAAGCGGTAACTGAAAGACAAGCCAGCCTGTGAGCCAGAGTCCCAAACATGTTATCAGCGCTCCATTGTGGAGAAGTGGATACTATTTCAGCTCTCTAATACCTACTGTCTGCTCCTCTGTCAACAATTATAACTATTATGTGTAGATCCTTAGTTGCTATTGCCTTGAGAAGACACAGTGCTCTGTTAAAATACTTTATAAACCTAGTTCATCGGATATCAGGTTTGGTATTAATGAATATGTTGAAATCCATTCCTGAAATGCCCTCTTGATAGTCTTTTTGCAACCCACATTTCTATTTCTAGTAGAAAGCTTAAAGTTTAGGACTGGCTTCTTCAACTTTGCACCAGGAACACAAAGCACTGTATTTGGGACTACAAGAGATACTTAGTAAACGCTTAATTAACTGACTGTTAAGGAGAAGTATCAATATTGTAAGAGGAAGATCTGAGAAATAAAATTATACTAGAAAGAAATCTGACTGATGACTTTACTTTTTTACAGCATTCCATTTCAGAGATGTGATTGCCTGTTGTTGTTGTGTTTGATGTTGTTGAGTCAAATACAACTCATAGCAACTCTATGAACTCTGTCCTATCCTCTGCCATCCTTACAATCTCTGTCACACTTAAGCTCATTGCTGCAGTCACTATGTCAATCCATCTTATTGAAGGTCTTCCTCTCTTTAGCTGACCTTCCACATTTACAAGCATGATATCCCTTTCCAAGGATATAGCCTTTGCTAGCAATGTGCCCAAAATATGTGAGATGAAGTTTCACCATCCTTGCTCCAAGGAACCTTGTGGCTGTACTTTTTCTAAGACATATCTATTCTCTTTTTGGTAATCCATGGGATGGTCAGTGCTCTTCTCCAACACCACAACTCAAAGGCATCAATTACTCTTCTGTCATCATTATGCGTTGTCCAGTCCTTGGATATACATGAATCAGGTGCACTTTAGTCTTCAAATTGACATCACTGCTTCTCAGTAGTTTGGAGAAATCCCTGACAGATGGATGACTTGCCCCATACACCGCCTGATCTTCTGACTGCAGGTACCAAGGGTGCTGATTGTGGAGCCAAGAAAGATGACATTTCAATCTTTTCTTCTTGATGTTGAAATGCAATACATATTGAACACTGTAGTCTTTGATCTTCCGCAGTAAGTGTTTCAAGTCCTCACTTTCAGCAAGCAAAGTTGTGTCATCTGCATAGTACAGGTTGTTGATGAGTCTTCCTTCAATCCTGATGCCACATTCCTCTTCATTGAGTCCAGCTTCACTAATAATTTGCTCGGCATTCAGACTGAATAGATATGAACAAAGGATACAACTCTGACGTAGCTTTTTCCTGATCTTAAACCAGGTAGTGTTCCCTTGCTCTGTTCGAACAACAGCTTCTGGGTACAAGTTTAAGTTTCACATGAGTAAAATTAAAGTGTTCTGGGATTTCAATTCTTCTGAATGTTAGCCATAGTTTATTATGATCCACACAGTCAAATGCCTTTGCAATTGTCTAAGTAATATTATACTGAGAAGCTGTACCAGTTAGAGAGGAGATTTCATGTAAGAGAATGGTGTTACTATTTAAGAACAGCCTTCAAAAACTGTTTACTGATATAAAATGAAAATGACAATAAACGGGTATAACTACTGAAATGCTATGGTAAAGAGTCCACTTTATTTTGCTGACTTTTCCTCTTCTGATACAATCTCAGTATTAATAAATATCCCTAGCTTGTATTCAAGATAATGTTTTAAAAAAACCCAAAAAAAAATCCCAAACCCCACTAAATCTTCTTCCTCCTACCTTAAATATATAGAACTCAGACAATTGTGTTTTCATTAATTTGTATTATCTTTCATGACACTGTGACAATTTGAATGTAACCAACTATATTGAAAAAATCTCCTTGGCTTCCTTTTCCAGACATTCACTGTATCTTTCTCAAACAAAGCAAGCCCAAGGGTCCTGAGGGTCAAAAACAACAAAGCTTTTCTTCTCCTGCCCTGGATACTTTCCAATGAAGCCCAACAAAGGAAGAAATTTTAAAAAGATCAACTCTGCTTTTCCAGATTCAGTTCTAAAGCAAACTAGGATCTAAAAGCTGTATTTGAATTAAATTCATTCAAATCTGTCTTTATTTTTTAGATCTTTTCACTGTAACAAAAACAAAACTCTATATTAAATATACACTTAAGAGGATTAGTAAAAAATTTAGACATAACTCCCTGCCTTTTCAAATTTTCTTTTTCTACTCACAAGTTTTGTGGCCGTGGCTTTTTGTTAGAGGTTTTGGTAGAGTGACACTGATTTGGGTTTGGCCTCCTTATAAAGGAATGAGGATTGTACTCAGTTTCAACACTAGCACATAACCACCCGCCATTTGACTGTGTTTATCAAAAGAAGTCACCTCGAATGTTTGAGTCTGAGAAAACACATTACTTACACAGTGACACTTTTATATCCCGCTTGTCATTGGAGACACGATAAGCTCCATAGCCGGCCAGAAAGCCGACAAAAAGACCACCAACCAAAGACGGAACACCACCTGTGAAGGGGAGGTGAACAAGAGGAGTTCACAAAGGGAATCCCAAATCAATCATTGTACCTGCAACTTCAAATCTAATCCTACATGTGCATTCCACCCTGACCATTATTAATGTTGTTAATAGTTATTAACTTATCAATCAACAACAAATTATTAATAAATTCATGCCTATCCGTGAAGGAGGTACTTTGGTACCACAGCATATTGTGCTGCCATTGAAAAGCTTTGCATCTCTGGCAGTTCAAATCCATCAGAAACTCTGTGTGTGAGAAAAATGGGCAGTTTCCTCCCTTAAAGATTTATAGTCTTAGAAACCCAATGGAAGCTCATTATGAGCCAGTATCAACAATAACAGTGGGTTGGGTTTGATTTTGTTTCATCCATACAGAGCTGACAAGAAATGACTGTTTGGTGATGGACCCTAAATGCAAAGCAGAGGAGCCCTGAATTCGGAGGAATGCAGGAGCTTAGAAAATGCCAGAAGGAGTAAGATACCTGCCTCCTAGCGGTGGGTCAGCCATTTGACAGCATGGTTCTTATGCCTAAAAACTAGAAACCACTTTTTAAAAAATTCTTCTGGTCTACTCTTTTAACATGTTGCTGCACACTTTTTAAACTGACAACCCTGCTTAGAAACACATTTGCCGTCATTTGCGGCAACGTGTTAACTAGGATGTGATGACAACTGAAAATAAGATACAAATTAATTTCTAATTTGGTGGGGGGGGGGGGAGATCCTGTCCTACTAAGTGAACTTTTATGGCTCCAAATTGCAGCACTTAGGAATTCGAACTATGAGAAAAGAGAAGAGGTTGGAAACATTTTTTTAATGAATTTTCCTTTGGAACACACAATTATTAACAGAACAAAAATTTTTGGCACTAAAATTATGTAAATGAAAATCTGTATTTGATTTTGTGAGTTAAATCAATCACTGAAGTAATTGATAACAATAGATGAAATGAGAATTTTATTATAAGGAGAGGCCCAATATACATATGGAACATTCCATCACATCCAGGTCCACCTAACCCCTACTTTCTTCAGTCACCTCTAAGCTGTCTTTAGCATCCTGTTTGACTCACAGACACTCAGGTGCTCCTCAAGCCACTAAACCCTTTCCAATGCCCTTTTCATGAACACTTGGTTTGGACTCACCTCTGCGTTTATATCCCACGATGCTTCCACAGGTCACAAGGGCCGCATAACCAAAACCTATCAGGTCCATTGGCATGGCTGCAAACCTAAACCAAAGGGGAAAGGCCAAATAAAAGAAAAGGCTGTGTGTGGGGCAGGTTTATATCAAAGGAATGTATGCCCTGTAGAGTTCCAGAAATTAATTTTAGTCTGCTAAAAATGGGAGACAAACGCTTGGTCTCAGTCTTGATCCTAACACTCAACCACTGTTTTCAGTTCCTCAAATAAGACTTCTCCACTTCTTAGATATGACTTCCAGCAGAGTCTCTTCACCAGACCATAATGCTACAATCTTCACCTTTCATTAACATGCCCGAAACATACTCCCGCTGAGGAGCCAGACCACCCACTCATATCTCTTTGCAAATCTCCTGCTGTCCTTATTAACCTTACTGACCTCCCAATCTCTTTGACCCCTCTAGTCTGCAACACAAAACAGAGAGCATCTTTGCTTCTTTCTCCTCTAGATTCTTTGACTTCAACAAATTCATCTAGTAATCCCTATTCTCCATCCTAGGCCCCCTACCAACCAAACAACAGAGAAGGGGTAACATGGACATTTATTTGTCGAGCTAAAGTTTCACCTACTTCCTAACCAATATGCCTCTGGAAACTCTATGAACTTGGAGAAATGACGATAGTTCTAGAAAGCCTTCAGGCCTTTTGTTCATAAGGTCGCAATGAGTTGTGCTCGACTTGATGGCAATCAACAACAACAACAAAGTTTCACCTTCACTATTTACTTTGTCCGTAGTTTTGCCATGAGAGAGCTCTTCTGTGGGGTCAGAGACATCCACACTTAACAGTAAGTCACTGAAGAAGTACAAGGATGCCCTGACATGAAAGGTGACTTAATGAGAGCAACATCCAATACACAGTGGTCAAAGTAAAGTGAAATCATGTCCCTGACTCCCTAAGATATCGCACACCACGCTGGTCCCAGACAGGCGGTGTGAGTACTGTTCACAGCTGACTCTTGGTCCTTGGGCTAAGACTCATCATCATCCCAGCTCCAGTCTTCGGAAATGAAGGGAAGAGGTAAATGAACTCTTGTTTCTTGCAGCTTTCAATGTACAAATTTCCTAGTTGTGCTTTTGTAACTTTTGTTCAACTTTTTATTGTGAGGTGGGTGAGCATTTACATACCAAATTGGTTTTCCATTCAATAATTCACATTTTTATTCATGACACTGATTACATCCCCTACAATAGCATTCTTCCCACCACCTCCCTTTTCCATTTATTTATCCTTCCATTTATTCTTCTTTCCTGTCCCTTTCTGCCTTTTGAGCTTGATCGTTGGGCAAATGCTGCCTCTTATTCCTATATGGCAGCTTGTTCTGAGGAGTTTGTACTTGTACGTCCCGAATATTACTGTTCACCTTCTAGGTCTGCCTGTGGTTAGACATAAATTCCCTGTCTTATATTTCTATTTCCTCCTTAAGGAATAGAATTTTTTTTACATGTTCATAGCACACCATTTAAATGAATCCTGTAGCAAACGGTAACAAATTGACCCATAAGAACAGAAAAGAGAATTGTAAGCTTATCTCAGAGTAACCTCCAACTTACTGTGGGGAGGACTCTGAAGAGAGGGAGTCTGGCACACTAGAGAAGATAGCTGAAAAAGAGGCAACTCTGAAAAATCCTCCACATCTGTAGGAAAAAGAGTGAAAATAGGAGATTGCATCTGTGTTTATGAAGTGGTGCTGTGGGATTTAGCAAACATGTAAGAAGAAACTTTGTTCAAATCCCTTTGAAAAGAAAACCTTACAACTGGGAACAAACATTTGGTAATACCATCTCAGACAAGGATTTCATAACTAAAGTTTGCAGAATACTCCTGGGCCTCCACAAGAAAAAGGCTGATAACCCAATTAAAAATGGGCAAAAGGCATGGAAAGAATCTTCACAGAGGAAGATATTCAAGTGGTCAACAGACACATGAAGAAATGATCCAAATCACTGGCAATAAGAGAGATGCAAATCAAAACCACAATGAGATACCACCTCACTCCACTAGCAGTGGCAAAGGTTAACAGGACAGCAAATAATAAATATTGGCGAGGATGTGGCAAAATAGGAACTCTTATACATTGTTGGTGGGATTGTAAATTGTACAACTAGTCTGGAAGTCAGTTTGGCATTTCCTCAAAAAGCTGAACATAGATATTCTACATGATCTAGCTATTCCACTGCTTGAAATATACCCCAAGAAAATGAAAAGTGAAGCACAGAGACCTGTACCCCAATGTTCATAGCAGTATTATTAACCAATGCAAGAACATGGAAACAACCTAGATGTCCAACCACAATTGAATGGATTGAGAAATTATAGTATATTCACACAACAGAGTACTATGCAGCAAGCATGAGCAATGATTTTGTAACTAGATAACTTGGGAAGGACTGGAGAGTAGTATGCTGAGTGAACTTCCTCAGTCCCATACGGACAAATACTGCATAAAACCATTATGGTACAAACAACCATGAGGTATTATCTCACCCCAATAAGAATAGCAAAATTTAACAGAACAGCAAATATCAAATGCTGGTGAGGTTGCAGAGAAACTGGAACCCGTATTCAGTGTTGGTGGGAGTGTAAAATGGTGCAAACACTATAGAAGGTAGTATGGCATTTTCTCAAAAATTTGTAAATAGAAATAACATTTGACCCAGCAATCCTACGACTGGGAATATACCCTAAAGAAACCAGAACTGCCACCCAAGCAGATATATGAACACCCATGTTTATCGCGGCTTAGTTCACAATAGCAGAGTTTGAAACAACCCAAGTGCCCATCAACAAACAAATGGATAGAGAAGCTGTGATATACTCACACAATGGAATACTATGCTGCATTGAAAAACAAGGAACTCATGAATTATTATACAAAATGGGTGACCCTGGAGGACATTATGCTGAGTGAAATATCTCAATCACAAAAGGACAAATACAGCATAGTGCCACTGTTGTAAAATAGGACTGACATCAAAGTTGGGGAGAAACTAAGAAAAGAGGGGATAAATAATGTATACTGCATTGAAACAGATAAATGAGAGAATTGTTTAGGAGGAATATATGATTAGGTATTATTGTCATGACAAGAGTCCAGAATGAAAACTGCATAGTGGAGTGGTCTGGGGTGGGGGTGCAGGGGTTGTATAACAATGAAAGAATTTTTTCTTACTTTTCAAAGAGAAAAGCAAACTGGGGGGAGGAGTGGGCAGGGAGTAAAGTGTTCAATAATCAATGAACGGAAATCCAAAATCTCTGTAAACTTTCACTAAAATTAATTTAAAAAGTAAACTACAACTTTAGAAAATACTAATAAATCAAAAATTTCACTGGAAAAAAAACCCCAAAACCCCATTATGTTAGAATGAGTGTGAGGATCCAAGTGGGGGTTAGGATGGAAGAAGAGGGCTGAGGATGGGTGGAGAGAGTTAATCACAGGGTCACACAATTGGATGGGTGGGCAGGGGGTGAAGGAAATGAGAAAGATCCATGTGAGAAACAATGTATTCAAACTGTAAATAAACCACTATGTTGTTGTTGTTATCGAGTCATCTGCGACTCATAGTGACAGTATGTACAAGAGCCCTAAACCCTGCTCTATTCTGTGCCAATCTTATGTCTCCAACAAACCTACCCCCATTACCTCAGTCACGGAATCAATCCATCTCATCAAGGGTTTTCTTCTCCTGTGCTCTCCCTCCACCCTCTCCAAATATTGGTCCCTCCTTGCATCATGTCCAACGTATGTTGGATGAAGCCTCAGAATCCCTGCCTCCAACGAGCAGCCTGGCCTTACCCTCTCCAGGACGAATCTGTTTGTTCTCTTAGCAGTCCATGGTATATTCAATACTCTTCTCTAGCACCACAGTTCAGAGGCATCAATTCTCCTTCTATCGTTCGTAGTCATTGTCCAGCTCTCTGATATATAGCAAGTGACTGCAAAGACCATGACCAGTATCAGGTGCACCTCAGTCTCCAGACTGACACTGCTGGTCTTCAGTACTTTGGAGAGGTCTCTGACAGTATACTTTCCCAATGCAATATGTCTTAATTTCCTGGCTGCTGGTGCCAAGAGTGTTGAAAACCAGTATTAAAAAAACAAATAAACCATTTGTTGACTGAACAATGAATAAGCATGGTGTCTGTGCTAGGCACCATTCTAAGGACTGAAAGTAACAAGTTAATCATTACATAATACTGGGAAGTTAAGTATTATTTAAAGGGAGCTCTGGTGGCCTAGTGGCAGGAAGGTGCACTGCAATTCCAAAGGCACGCAGTTCGAGGCCACCAGATGCTCCACAGGAGAAGGATGGGCAATCTCCACCCACACCTCTGAAAACCCGCAGGAGGGTCTGATATGGGTTGGTTCCAACTCCACGGTAAACAACAAAAAGTATAATTCAAGTCATTATTCAGATAAGGAAACTGAGACACATAAAAGGCAAGCAAGGAAGCTGAGGTCACACAGCAGAGCTGCAATTTCAGGCTAGGAGAAGCCTCACTCCAAACCACTAAGCAGTACTCTCAATATAAATGGCTTAGGAAATATGCCAATGAAAGTGCTGTTCAGCATACTTTAATTCTGATTAATCACTTCTTCTTGGCTTCCTATCTTAAGATTGTGACCACAATGCACTATCTTCCATCCAATGACTTATCATTTCAGCTTGCCCAGTCTAACTTACTGTGTTTCTCCAGATGCTAATCATATTCCACAAAATATGCTTGGCTTCAAACCTGATGCCACCACTTAGTAACTGTGTAACATCAGGACAAGAAGCTACCTCCCATTTGTAAGTGGGCAATAAAATGCTTATTCTTAAGCATCAAGAATAGTTTAAGTCACAAGAAGACAATACTATATAATGTCACTGTTATAAAACAGGACTGACAGGAGTTTGCGGGAAAAGTAAGAGAGGATAAATAATGCACATGGCATTGAAACGGATGAGGGAGAGAACTGTATAAAATTAGGTATTATTGGTATGACAAAAGCCCAGAATAAGACCTGCA